AATTTTGGTCTCTCTTTTGTACAGCTGCCCATAATTCTAGAAAATGAGGAAAGTCTCTACCAATCACTACCTCATGAGATAATCTAGGTACTACACCCACTTGGTACTTTAAATCCCCATACTGGGTTCCAATATTTACTTCCGCAGTGGGGTATTCCTTTTTATCACCATGAACACAGATAATGCCTATTTTCTGTACATGATCAGGTTTTACACAAGGTATTATAGACTCTGCTACCAACGTAACCATACTACCTGAATCAAGTAATGCTTTAGACATTTTTCCATTCACAGTTACACAGCATTTATGAGGGTAATTATCATAGTCATTGTTAATAGCACCATAATAGTTGAGAAAAAAATGAACGTGCTCCCTCATCTTTGCCCATATTGCATTCCATAGGTTCATCCTTCAATGGACAGTCTTTGGCCATATGACCATCCTCTTTGCACTTGAAACATTTCACAGTAAAATCTGACCACCAATTAGTTCCTCTCCCAGGCCTATTACACCTGAATGCCCCCCTGGTGTTTTGTGTATGGAGCTGCAGCTCTTCAGCTCCCCTTAAACAGTCTTACCAGGTCTTGCAGAATCTTGGGGCTTAGGATTGCGGGAGTTTTCCTGTGAAGTAGGCCGTAGCAGTTCTCTTGCAGCCACATTTCTTTCCACGAAGGCAATCAGTTGGTCAGCTGTATGGGGATCACTTTGGCTGACCCAGCGATGCAGGGCAGCTGGTAAACCACGCAAAAACCGATCCATTACTAAGATTTCCACAATGTGGCTAGCTGTATGGATTTCAGGTTGTAGCCATTTCCGTGCAAGGTGTATGAGGTCAAACATTTGGGAACGTGCGGCTTTGTCTGAAGAATATGACCATGAGTGGAACCTTTGGGCAAGTACTGCAGAGGTTACTCCCAGTCGTGCCAAGATTTAAAATTTCAGTTTGCTGTAGTTACTTGCATCGGCTGGTTCTAGGTCATAATATGCCTTCTGCTGCTCTCCACTTAGGCCAGTATGCTTGCCCACTCATCAGCCGGCCATCCCTCCCTCTCAGCAGTGCGTTCAAATGCCAGAAGGTACGCCTCAACATCATCTGATGCAGTCATTTTCTGAAGGTAGTGGCTCGCCCGAATCACCTTTGGCCCCTGGTATCTTCAATCAGGGTCTCCATTCAGTTTTTCAGAGATAGCTTGGATTTCCTGTTGTAGTAACTGGGTGACTTTTTGCTGCTCCTCACGGGCTACTTTAAACATCTCTGCTTGCGTCACAGCAATCTGTTTCACCAAGGACTCAGTGCACTCCATCTGTGTTTTGGCCAGGACTTTAGCACACTCTGCCTGGGCCAGCCCCAGTTGCTGCAGGGCTGCGCTCAGGGCCGTCTATAATATGATTAGGACCCTGGGCAATGCATTTTCTTGGGCCCCATGGGCCCTGTCCCTGCCACTGCCTCACCCCCCAATTACGTCCAACCCGCAATCACACTGACAGACGTACTGGCACATACACACACAGACAGACATTAAAACATTCACAGATACATACTGACACACAGTCACTACACACAAATATATACTGGCAGACATACTGACACACACACAGACATACATACATACATACACAGACACATACATTAACAGATATACTGACACACACACAAACACATACACTGACAGATATACTAAAACACACAGACACATACACTGACAGACACATTGACACACACTGACACACACACACAGGCATACTGACATATACACAGACAGACGTAATGGCTGATACAGACAGACGTAATGGCTGATACAGACAGACATTAAAACATTCACAGATATATACTGACACACACATACACTGACATACAAATATATCCTGGCAGACATACTGACACACACACACACACACACAGACATACATACATACACACACAGACACATACACTGACAGACATACTGACTGACACACACATACATACACAGACATACTTACATACACACACAGACATACTGGCATACACACAGACATACTGACACACACACACAGACATACTGGCATACACACAGACATACTGACACACACACACAGACATACTGGCATACGCACACAGACATACTGGCATACACACAGACATACTGACACACACACGCAGAAATACTGACACACACACAGAGACATACTGGCATACACACAGACATACTGACACACACACACACACACAGACATACTGGCATACACACAGACATACTGACACACACACAGACAGACCTACTGACATACATTTAGCCACCCTCCAGGTTCTTACCTTTTCCTGGAGGGTGGTTTCCCTGGTCCAGTGGCAGGCTGAGGCAGATGGGAGTTCTCCTCTGGAACTCCCCTCCTCCCTGCCTTCCTCCTCCCGCGCGGCTATCTCCGGTGGGAGGAAGTGACGTCACTCCTCCCAGCCGGCTGCAGAACCGGAAGAGGGGCCCGGTCGCGCTGTTTAAGCGCCACAGCGCCCGACCGGGCCCCTGCTGACACATGCTCCCCGGGTGGCCCTTAGTGCATGGGACACCCGGGGAGCCTCCTCAGTGTGCGGGAGCCGCAAATCGCGGGGCCCACAGAGCAGCTGCTCTGGGCCCCCAGGAGCAACTGGGCCCGGGGCAGCTGCCCCGTTTGCCCCGCGTTAAAGACGGCCCTGGCTGCGCTGTTTTCTGCAGCTTTCCTGTTAACCTCCTGTTGCACAGAGGTGGATTGGATCAGAGCCTTGATAACATCCTCCATGTTGAGCTATAAATGACTTCTACCCTCAGGCTTACGTGGCTGCCCGCATTCTCCACCATATGTAACAAACCACCTCTTTTACATGTAGGATTGTCACAGATCTTGCAGTAACCACAGCCTTCTAGGGTATACAAAGTCCAGGACACATTCAGCTCGGTTTTCCTTTTTATTTGATAAGAAAAACAGGTGCTTTAAATAATAATAAACAAACAAAATTCCTTGCTCTTACTTGAGCTCTTACTAGACAGAAATCACTATCTGTAATTGGGTGGCTTTCCCACTTACCAATTTTCCAAAAAAACGAAATGGATTTGCAATAAACACAATTGTTGTTCTCTCTCCTTCAGCTCTCCTAGCTGGCTTTTTCTCCCTCACCCTGTAGCGGGCTGATCTCTTCTTTTAACCCCTTAAGGATGGGTGACGGACAAGGTCCGTCACAGAGGGGAGACCCTTAGTGATGAGTGACGGACCTTGTCCGTCATGCGGTAAAATTAACCCCGGATCGCCGCTATTGCATTAGAGGCATACCGGGAGCACCCGGTCAGGCTGCCCAGCACATGTGCTCGCTCTGACCGCAAGTCAGAGCGAGCACATGTGCTCTGTATACTTACCTTCTGCCTCCCTGCACTTCCTGGTTCTGTGTGAAGTGCAGGGAGCCGGAACAGTGATGTAAAAAAAATAAAGTTAATTTAAAGTACCACCCCCCTTTACCCATTGTAATAAAAAATTAGCCCCTTCCCTGCCAATTGATCACTGACTACAGTGATCACTTGGCAGGGATTACATTTTACTATGATCTGATTTTTTTTTTTAACCCCTGAGGGTTAATTCTTTTTTTTTTTTTAACCCTGAGGGGTTAAATTTAATTAATTAATTAAAATATTTTAAAATTATATATTTAGCTAGCTGGGGTGGGTGGGTGGAAGTTAGTGGGGAATTGGGGGATTTGGCATTAGGTTAACTAGGGGTTAAGGTTAAAAAAAGTTTTAAAATAAACTTTAAAAAGTTAAAAATTAAGCTTAAAAAAAGTTTTAATAACGTTTAAGTAAAAAATTTAAAAAAAAACCCTTTACCTTGTCCAAATAAAAATGAACCCCTTCCCTGCCAGTCGATCACTGCCTACAGCGATCAAACACAGTTCACAGTATTATACTGTGATCTAATTTTTTTTAACCCCTGAGGATTAACTTTTATTTATTTTTTAACCCTCAGGGGTTCAATTTATTTAATTAATTAATTCATTAATTAAAATATTTTATAACTATATATTTTGCTAGCTGGGGTGGGTGGGAGTTATGGGAAAATGGGGAATTTACTGTTAGTGCTGCTTACTGCTAGTTAGGGGTTAACGGTAAATAAAAAAGCTTTGAAAAATGTTAAATCTGTAAAAAAGTTTTAAGAAAGTTTAGGAAAGTTTAAAAAAATAATAATAAGCAAAACAAAAGTTTAAAAACTAGTTTTTAAGAGTGAAAAAGTTAAAAAAAGTAAAAAAATACATTTTAAAAACGCTCATTACCACTGCACCTGGAACAAACTAGAGAAAAAATTATCCCACGCCAAGGTTCAAAATATGCCTTTTGAATTACCCCAGGGTTCTAAATAGTATGTGTTTGTGGGGAAGTTTCAATAACCAACCATCTAAACTACTCCAAATTGGAACATGGACACAGCGTAAAACTTCAAAGTTAGAAAAAAACTGAATGGCTGCGTCTCAAATGCGCCCCTTCAACATCCACATATACCTGGCAAAGGTACAAACGGGGATATTGCTGTACTCAGCCGACATAGCTGAGCAAAATATGAAGTATTCAGGCCCGGACTGGCCATCGGGCACACCGGGCAAATGCCCGGTGGGCCGCGGTGGCCATGGGCCGAGGCCGGCAGGGGAGATCACAGGATCTCCCCTGCCGGTCTATGCAGGGCCGGCACTCTCCTAGCGCCGGCCCCGCTGTTTGTCACGACGGGCCGGTGGGGAGATCAAGGATCTCCCTGACCGGCCCACATGCGGCCGCCGGCGGGCAGAGAGGGAGACAGCCAGCCAGGCTGGAGAGAGGACCCGGCGGAGCTCTAACTTGCAGCTCCGCTGGGTTCCTCTCGCGAGATCCGGCGTGTTGCCATGGCAACGGCTGGATCTCGCGAGAG